GAGAGAGAGAGAGAGAGAGAGAGAGAGAGAGACAGACAGAGACAGACAGAGACAGAGACAGAGAAAGAGATGGAGAGAATGGCAACATTCTTCTGCCATTTCTGGAAATAGCGGGTCACAAGAGTGTGACAAACATACAAAAGAAATAGAGGAAAATGACGATAGTAAGGATTAGGAAAGTAAAATCAGCAGTTCCCTGTCGTAGATCAGGTACAGTTATGAGCGTGACAATGTTGGATCAGCCCATTTACAATTCTACTGTGCATTAGAACGAGAAATGTCCCCCCTTTGGGAATGGCCTAAAGACACTACAGTCAGTGGCATCGCCCCTATTTTTATCTTTTCCTGCGTGTGTATGTGTATTTGCGTGTAAGTGTGAACGCAGGCATGTAACCTCTCACTTCAGCAAAGCCAGTCACACAAACAAACACACACACACACACACACACACACACAAATATAGATCTATCTATCCACAGTACAAAGACGTAACATTCACAATTTACTACTTTGTTTCTCCTGTGTGTATGTGTATATGTGTGTAGCCACACACACACACACACACCACACACACACACACACACACACACACACACACACACAAACACATATCTATCTATATCTATCTCCAAGATAAAGACGTAACATTCACAATTTACTACTCCGCTTCTCCTGAGGATAAAACTCCATCGTGCACTCGTTGATGACCCGCGAGGACTTGCGCACCAGGAAGTGGAACTTGTCCTGGTTGGTTTTGTTCTGCCAGAAGGAGACGTTCAGCGTGTCCCCGAGCCTCGACTCCCCGCGGAAGTTCTGCTGCAGCGTCTTGACGCGACGGAACGGGTCTCCGTTGGTCTCGAACCCATAGGTTCGCACGTGCCACTTGATGAGGGAGTCCATGTAGAGTCTGACATAGTTGGTCCAGTTCACGTGCATGTTGGGGTCAAGGTCACTGGGGGCGATGGAGTACGTGTCCTCCAGGACGGTCACTGACTCAGGAACGTGAAGCGTCGGTACGATCAAGGGCTCCCCGCCGCTTCGTACCTCCCGAGCGTATTTCTCTCTGAACCAATCGGGTGGTGTCGTGGGTTTTCGGCTCATCAAGTCGATGAATACAAACTGCGCGTCTCCCTCTAGGAGATGGCTGTCGCCGCTCTCACCCACGTACAGGTGGTCTTTGCTGGTGAAACTCATGTTGCCGAGAAACGTGACCTCCGAGTTGATGTGCGCGGGACGCTTTTCCAGCGCGGGGTTGTACACTTCCTCGCTGAACTTGACCTTCAGGGAGACCATGAAGAAAACGCTGTCTAGCTTGTCCATGTCCATGAAGGTGCGAGGTCGTTCCGAGGCCGGATCGTACCACGAAACGATGCGGGCAAATTCCAACATGCGCATGATGCTGTGCGGTTGCAGCTTAGCTGCGAAGGAAATGACGTGATTTTACGGTAAGAAGGAAATGATTTGATCATACGATGTGATGGAAAAGATTTGATCGAAGGATGTGATGGAAGAGATTTATTCATACACTGCAAAGGAAATGATGCAATGCAAAAGAAATGACTTGTGAAGGAAATCATTTGTTCCTGCAGTGTAGTAGAAATAATTTGTATGTTCATTGCAATGGAAATCAATTGTTTGTACAGTGGAAACCATATATAACAGGTCCGGTAATAACAGGGATCCGGTAATAACAGGGATTTTTAAATCCCTGTTTTTTCCTACTCTTTGTCTCTCTTAAAAGTTATCGGCTATAACAGGGCCTCATCGAAGTACAATCGGTTATAGCAGGGACAAAGGCTCGTTAATAATGTGTAAAAAGTAAA